TAAAATAAAATAAAATAAAATAAAATGTTACTGGAAAAACTGGCTCTCTACATGAGGAAATCTAAAACTTGACCCCGTTCTATCACCACACACTAATCTAAAGTCAAAGTGAATTAAAGATATAAACATTAAAACAGAAACACTAAGTCTCCTGTAAGAGAAAGGAGGAGGAACACTTGAAGATATAGAGTTAGGCAATGAGTTCATGAACAAAAGTCAAATCACATAGGTGATACTAGAAAGAATTAACAGCTGGGACCACCTCTTATTGAGAAGTTTTTTTCATGTCAAAAGAAATTACCAACAAAGTGAAAAGAAAACCCAAAAATTTTGGAAAAAATTTGACTAATAAGAACTCAGACCAAGGTCAGCTCTCTAGAATCTATGAAGAACTGAAAAGCATTATGACCCCAAAATTTAAAACCCAATCCAGACATCGGCATCCGAGATGAACACACACTTCTCAGAGGACAAAATTAAAGAAGCAAATAAATATATGAGAAAATGTTCCACATCACCAGCCATCTATGAAATGCATATTAAAACAACACTGAGGTACCATCTCACCCCAGAAAGAATGATTATCTTTTTTTTTTTCCAGAACCGGGGATTGAACTCAGGCCCTTGCGTTTGCCAGGGAAGCACTTATTCCACTGTGCCATCTCCCTGGCCCTAAGAATGGCTATCTTAAAACAATCAACCAACAACAAATTTTGGAGAGTCTGTGGCGAAAAATGAACGCTTCTCCACTGCTGGTGGAAATGTAGACACATGATGGAAATCAAGGCTTAGACTCCTTAAAACCTAGGACTGGAAATCACATTCAAAACCAGGTATTACCCTCCTTGGAATTTTCCTAGAGGAACTGAAACATCATATCATAGTTATATATGTGTACCTATGTTTATTGCAGCTCAATTTGTGATAGCCCTATCTTAGAAACAACCAAGACAACTGTCATCTGAAATATGAATAAAAAAGGTGTGGTGTTTTTATACAATGGATTATTACTCAGCTATAAAGAAAGATAAACTTGAAGCATTTATATATAAGTGGTTGCCACTTGAATATATAATCATAAGTGAAACAGACCAGACACACTTGTATAAATATTGTATAAGTCTATAGCCTACCTAGTACAAGAACTCAAAAGCAGAAATACAAACAGAATGTTATAACACAATTAAATGTAAAGCGAGAAATTGAGGATTGGACAATGAGAAGAGGGCAAGGATTAAAGATGGGAAACAGGACAGGGGTAAATCCATATATTTATATGCACAAGATGTGCAAAAGAAAGATCCTGAGAAACATCAGCAGGTTTTTGAAACTAGCAGTTAATTGGTTGGATACTTATCCTGACTAACTATACATGCTCATACCTGTGAACCAAGCAACTGCACTGAAGACAGCAATGTGCAATAAAAGGATAATGCTTGGCATGCCTGTCATTCTGGCCTTCTAAGTACATACTACTTCTCATGACATACCAATTATTACCATACCAACTCTCTAGTAAAGGTTTGTTTTTCTTTATTTTGTTTATTTTTCTAAATGGGTAATAAAATAAGACACAAGAAAAAAATGTCACAAGACTGTCTTGCTGCAAGTCTCTATGTGGTTAGATTTCTAATTTTCTGTGTAAAAATATGTAGTTCTTTATTCATATTTTTAAAGTATTTTTCTTTCTTTCTTTTTTCTTTTTTTTTTTCGGAACCAAGGATTGAACTCAGGCCCTTGCACTTGCCAGGGAAGTACTTATTCCACTGAGTCATCTCCCTGGCTCGTATTTTTCATTTTTTAAATTTTTATCTCCATATTATATAGGGACTTAAAGTTTAACATATCAATACTTGGTGGAAAAATATCAGTTAAATGTAATGCCTAAAATATTTGACATTCAGATAGATAGTGAAGTTAAACCCAACTGCATATGTTGTAAGGTAATAATAAGCTTCTCTTCTGGAGGCTTTACATCTTAAGCTTTTAGACTAAAAATTAGAGAAATAGAAGGGCTGTAAGGACAGTCAACATTTTGACCCTAGCCTTTACAGGTCAGTGAAGACTCAGGACATAGAAGAACCTGTCGCGCACGACCTCACCAGCAAGGAAGACGCAACGACCAGCTCTTCTTGCAGCAGTTTATTCAGGAGCTCAAATTACAAGCTCTTCTCTCTATTCCGGGGCTTTCCTATGGCATATATCCCCTTTTGCAGCCTATCCCGGAGTGCCACGTGAGCGCTGCCCATAGGTCCAGGTATGTGGAAGCAGACCATGGG